GCGAGTAGAAGAGTTCGCAGAGGCGCGCGATAAGGACTCGCTCTTGTACCGGCGACGACAAAGCACGTGGACGTGTGACGAGCGACTACACTTGTGCTTGCGACCTTTTGTTACTCGACTTTTCGCGACTAACTCTTGTGACTGACATTTTTCTGAGATTCGGTTGCATGCGAATACGCGAGTGTCCACTCGGTGTGAGATATCGGTGCCGAGATTGCCCCTAGTGCCTTTGGCGGGCTAGTTCCTGCGACCGCGCGTGCGAGCCCTTAAGGCCGCCCGCTTCTTGACTGCACCCGAGCTGTACACTGCGCGTCATCGCGAGCCACGTGCGAGGCTGAGGATATCGCCTGCAGGGCTAACGCCGAGACGTTATTGTAAGTACCTTTTCGAATACATGTTTCTCTCGCTAGCTTTTCGCCGCTCTCTCTCCCGCTTACGCTGCGTATTAATTTTGTATTACTCTCCGTAGTAAACTCGATGTTATTTGTATATCTGTTTCCTTCTTTTGCGCTTCCTTTTACCTATCGTAATCAATCCCGTTCCGTCCGGCTTTCACACCTAAATTTTGTGATTATTCCAAAGCTCCCATAGGACTACACGACGCTCTCCGCGGGCCAAGGTAACAGACGCTGCACCACGACGTTCCTGTTGCCGCTGGGCTAGGCTTTGCGCAGCCTATTACGAGGCCCACACCGAGCTGTTTATTCCCCTCGTAATTTATATAACGAGTGACCCGCGCTGGGTCAAAACCCCGTTATAGTATGCTAACGATAACCATAAAGGTTGGGCTTCATTAATTCCCCAAATACAACAAATAATAAACTATGTGTATCATAAAACAATTAAAATTACTCCCATGGAAGCACACCTCCATATTGAACCGGAGAGGTTTTGGCATCGATTGATACCAGATACAAAACGAATGTGCCAATTGATCATAATCAAATAGAAAGAATAAAGAAAAGAATGCGCTGAAATTTTATAAAACGTGCAATCAATATTAATAAAAATATCTGTCATTATCAATATGTGATTGTTTTAGTACAAGAATGTAATGTCATGGCCATATAAGGAGCGTGACGTCACAGACTTATAGATATAGATATAATAGTTTAAGTTATTTGAATAAAATATGTTAATTAAAAGTAATTTTGATGTAACAAAGCATTTTTTTATAGATTTTAGTATGTAGATTTAGATTATAATAATTCTAATTGCGTTTAATTATTAAAGAATATTGAATTTCAATATGCAAAGTTAATTTGTTTATTACATTATAAGTATTAATTATTAGAATAATGCAAATACTCCAAATTCATAATGAATATCTTAAAAACATGAGTAAGAATTGGTTTCATTAATAATAGTTTAATTTTAACTGTTATTAATAAATAAATAATTATTAATTTATTTAAATATTAAGTTGTATTAAAATGTGATGTTTGTATCACTTGTAATATATTTCATAGTTCGTACTCTCGTGGTCTTGTCACATTAATGAATAAAAATTCGTTTCTTTTCAAATTTACTCGAATAATTAATATGAAATAAATCAATAAATCAAGTACAGTGCCGGTCAGCCACTTTTACCCCCCCACGGGCAAAATCAGTCTAACTTCAAAGTTTTATATCTCTGGTAGAAATTAACGTACAGAGACGCGCGTGGGTGCGATTGAATTTTTAGAATTTACGGATATAAAAAATGTTTTAAGAAACTGTCACTTCCAGGAAAAAATGCCCGTGCGCGCGTCATATTTGACGAAAATAAATTTTTGATGAGTGATTCAGATAGGGCTTGGTAATAGCTAAAAAATGGTGTACTTCAAATTTTCGTACGATTTTTTTTCCAAAATTGGCTAATTGTCAAAAATAATAAAAAAATTTCAGAATTTTCAATTTTGCATAATTGTTGCAAAATTTAAAAAAACAATCGATGGCAACCGTGAATCATATCATTTGAAAGCTCTCCGAAAGACCTTTCAAACGCACCGACGCGCGTCTCAGTACGTTAATTTCGACCAGAGATATAAAACTTTGAAGTTAGACTGATTTTGCCCGTGGGGGGGTAAAAGTGCGTGAGCGGCACTGTAAATACGAGATTTTAACAATCAAACTTTTTTTAAATATGTATAATTTATTTCAGCTGAAGGCTTAAAAAAATCAGAGTCAAAATTTAAATCAGTAGTGAGATTTACTTAGATAAAACAAATTTCATATGTTCAATTACTGAATTTAGAAGGCAATTTAAAACTATTTATGTGTAAAAGGCACATGCTAACATTTTAATAAGTATTACTGAAAGCAATAACTAGTATCCAAATGTTTATGCAATAAGCAATAAACTAACAAAGTGAGCTTAGGTGCAGAAGACATGCAAGCATAATGCTATAACTAATTTGCTTAATATAAAACTATAATTAAATTAAGTTACAAATAAAAATTCGAATTCGCAAGTGGCTAATGAGGTTTACAAGTGCCAACACTAATGTTTAGAGAAAATCTGTCTAGTTTTCTTTTGCTATTGTTTTGTAAAGAGGGCAGTATACTGCTGATACTGTTATTGGTCAGTTGTTATCATTTATTATAAAAATAGTTGAAATTTCACTAGTGTGTATGTGTGTGTGTGTGTGTGTGAACATAGTGATTTATTTTTCATTTTATTATAATTTCGGTAGTTCTGTGTTTTATTGAGTGGATAATTTGATTTGTACACAATGTAATTTGGTATGTTGTGATAGTTCTTGCTTGTAAAGTGTATTTTTGATATTAACATGATATCTATGATTTCGTTGATTGAAAATGTTCTTACTTCAAGGTGTCTCTGCCTAAGTCCATCTGCGTTACAGGCAGCTAGTTTTAATTTATTCATTGTGATATTTTCTTTATTAATACAGTTAAAAGTTTAACAGAGTATCCATCCATTATTAGCTGCTTCATTATATGTGAAAATTTATTTGTATTTACGTAATTGGTGTGTTTATTAAACTCTGCCTGTGTATTTATTTATTTGGATTTTTAATTTGTCTCGCTCGCTTCGTTTTGTTTCTATGTTGCCTGGATAAATTTTTTTTTGATCTGACTCTGTATTTATAATTAAATTTATAATTATAATTATATATTTATAACTAGGTTGATTACTGTTTGGAGTTAAAGTTTCCCCTCTTAATCTAGGAAATAATTTATGTTGTAGCTATTGGCAAACTGGATATTCTTTGTAATTTGCAGTGTAGTTTCACTTGCAAATTACTCACTTCTTTAACTTTTTCTTTAATTAAAAAGTCTTTAGTTTTGTAATACTCCCATTTGAATAAATATATAATACGCAATAATTTTTACAATTATGATGTTGGGGGCATGTCTTTTATAACATGCGGAGGTTCAAATTTATTAGCAATAAATAGTCAATAATCTATTTGCTTTATATATATTTTCGCTATTGCAATCGTGTTCTATTTCTATGCCAAATAGCGATAATGGTATTTTTTCACGCGATGCTGAATATTATAGATATATCTGACCTTGTGTCCGTGTAGCTCTATGGCATATTTTAAATGATTAAGGTCCAGAGCTAGGTGCAAACTCCTCTATACTACTTTGCAATGGTACGTATAAAATTGAGTTTTCTTTTTAGTGCAGTGACCGTCAGTAGATATTTTTCTTCCATTGTCAATTGTATTTTTATTTTGTTTTGCCCGATGAGATTGAGTGTGTAACTATCTTTTACTGTTACTTTGAACAAATCTTCTAACGGGCGAATATTTTCTACGTTGTATACAAAAATTGGAAGAGATTGCTTTTTTAGTGGATGAAGTTCACTGTTGACTGTATTCACTTCTTCATTTTAATTATCATGAAGAACCTCGTAGTAGTTAGTAGATTCACTTAGTACTCCGATAACTGAGCTGGTCGTTTCTTATTTCGTATATGGTTGTCTCAGCTCGTTCGTTATCTTTTGCTGTTTACAGTTTTCCCCTGTTCGACATCCTATTTTGTAAGAAGAGAATATTTTAGAAAAGTAGGTAGAATTAGGTAGAATAATTTTCGAATAATTGTAGAATAAAATATTCTATTTTTATTAAAATTATCACAAATTTCACAAAAGTAGAGTAATATAATAGAATAATTTTGAATGAACTAATTTTGAGTAAAGTAACATAAATTAATGTTACATTTTATATTATAACTCTTTAATTTTAATATTTATCTTTGCTTCATTTTATTTAAGATTATAAGAAAATAGTTTAATCTTATCTAATATTTAAGAAGTACAATGTAATTATATAACTTTTTTCAATATGTTTAAATACAAATTTATACACATGTTAAAATACACTTGCATGTAGCTAGAAGAAAAAAATATTCTATAATTTAAGGACCGGATTGTGGATATACGAAATAATTCATTTTGTATATCGAAATCTAAGTTTTAAAAGTGTTATATTTAATTTAAATTTAAAAGTGTTATATTTAATGAGTATATTTTAAAATCTAAAATTTACATTTAGAAAAACTTACAAAATTTTCGTTCCATTTATATTCTTTATCTTATAACAACGTAGTAATTGATAATAAGATAAAAAAGGAAATATGTCTATTTTTAACTTAGATTATATGAAATGCTTATAAAAGTGCGTATATATGATATGAAAACTAACTGTTATTATATGTAGTTATCACAATAATATGTGATAACTATATATTAAATTTTATAATTCAAAATAGATTCACATAATAACCTGTGGTTCATATAAATTAGAGATACAATAAATAATTTTTTTTTTGAAAATGAATTGAACCATCCGAGAATTTCAAGTAAATTAACAATATTAGTTGATAGTTTTTATTCATCTTCATAGAATCGATTAACATGAGAACCACTATCAATAATAAGTATGAAACGATACTGCACGGAGAACACTTACTAAGCATTTATTTGGCTTCTAGCTAAAAGAATCTTAATAATATACTTGGCATATTTGGTATTATCGTAGTATGGCATCTACATATGTGGTAAATCACGTGTGTATATATATGTATATATAAGTATACGTCTACTATCATCTAAATGGTCTTGAAATACAATTAAAGCGACTCTTAGATATTTTTATTTCAAATAATTAAAAAATTTTAGTATAAAATTCTATTAACATTATTTTTTATCTTCGTTATGGTTAAAGAAAAAGATAGAAATACTACTTTAACAAATCAACCCTCTAAATTGCTACTTATCGGAATTTTAATAAGTGGATTTATCTGCAGTGCGAGAACAGAGTGTTCCGATATAGCTCGAATAGCTATCATAATGAATCTTAATAGTGATTTCTGTAAAGAATCTTTGCTAGAACGTGAATTTTCATCCAATTCAGAGGAATATTCCATTTATAAATCCAATCATACAATAAGTGACAGATATATTGGTTTGTTTTTCACATTCCATTTCCCGACTTTTGAAAACGGAAATCTCTATAATTGATAAAATAATATCAAATTTTTTATTATACACCCACGTTTATTTTTAGGTCAGTTACTAGATTTGACTTACAAATAAGTCTGAGTCTAGATATATCAATTTAAAAATTAAAATAAATATTAAATAAATTTTAAAAAATTATATACACTGCCGGTCACCTACTTTGGGCCCCCCGCCGCAAAATTAGTTAAAACTTCAAAGTTCAACGTCTCTGGTAAAATTTATGTATAGAGTTGCCCGGAGTGACGTTTGAAAGGTCTTTTTAAGACCTTTCAAATAGTATAACTCATGGATGCTAACACTTGTTTTTTAATTTTTTGCAAGCAATAATTCAACATTGAAAATCGGAAAATTTTTGTTAACTTTGAAAATTTGCCAAATCTGGAAAAAAATTAAACAAAAATTTAAGAATTTTATAACTTTTATCAAACTTTATCTGAATCACTGGTCAAAAAATTATTTTCATTAAAACCAACGCCCGCACGGGCATTTTTTCCGGGAAGTGACAGTTTCTTAAAACATTTTTTATATCCGTAAATTCTAAAAATTCAAAAGGAGAAAAAATGGTTTGTATTTGCAAGTGGAATACTGTACTATTTTTTTGGCCAAAAAATTTCTCTCGATTTAAAAAAATTTTTTTTTACAGGTGGTACGCCAAAAAGATGAAAAACTACATCTCTTTGAAAGCTCTTGGAAAAACCTTTCAAACGCTACCGAGGCTACTCTGTAAGTTAATTTTTACCAGAGACATTGAACTTTAAAGTTTTGACTAATTTTGCGGCGACGGGCCCCCAAAGTAGGTGACCAGCAGTGTATATAATTTTTTTAGATTTCTAGTTGTTCTATGCTCAAAATTTTAAACAAAGTCGAACTTTTTTCTATTATTTGAATTGTATTTTACATGAAATAATTCAGTTTTTTGCCAATATAATTTAATATACGTACTCAGAACTATTTCTAGATAAATGACCACCAACGAATAGATTATTTCCAATGTTAGTCAACTTGCATTCTCTTGTAGGTGACAATATAATTTTGCAAAGTTTATAAGCCTCTTCGTTATCTTCAAGCCATTTACTTTTATAAGCATAAACTACCATGTGCATATTTAAATTCGAAACTATTTGTAAAGGTAGGGAATAACTTTGTGACGAGAGACAGGGGACGAGTAAATAATAGTAGGATTATCTCGGTCTCGTTCACCGTCGACATCCATGAGCGGCCTGCGTGCGTGCATACGCAGGGGAAATTAAAATCAAGAGTCGAGTCAAGTAGACAAGAGAAGCCTTAGCTCAGAGGGGTATCAACTGAGCTGAGACCCTGCGCAGATGTCCGTGCATCTTCAGCTCAGCTCTGTCAACTCACCTCCCCTCCTCTTACGTGCTTCGGCAATGATGACTCACCCTCCCTCCCCTATTGATCTAATGCCCGTGTGTTCTATGTCGTGCTCCGGTACTGCCGATTCACCACCCCCCTGCTAAGCTGATGCCCGTGCCCGTGCGTTCTATGTTCCACACTTTCGGTTCATTGTACCCCGCTCCCCTGCTGAGCTGATGTGCTCTCTGAGCCAATGCCCGTGCGTTCACATGCTTTCCGTTTATCGTGCGTGTTAAATTTTTTAGACTTAATAAGGTAAATTTTTATCGAAAAAAAAACGAATGGATGGATCATGGGATGGAACCCGCGTACTCCGTATCTGCAGGCCGATGCTCTACCGCTAGGGCCACTGCCACTAGTGCCCCGACAGTTCTTATTGTGTATATTAGCTGCATGATTGGTATAGGGCCCAAAAGTGCTAATATATAAAATTAATAATGTATACACGTATATAATTAGTATAAAATGAATTTTTTGCAGTTCAACGTGTATGTGGGTGTTTGTGTGTTCACTGAAATAAAAGATATATTATTATTTATCATTTATTACTATGTATGTATAAAATTAATTATTAAAATAAACTTAAAAAATAACAAAATACAAAACAGCAGTTAATATACAAATTTATAAAATATAAATATAAATACTAATTATGATATAATAGACTCTGTTGTCGTCATCGTCATTGTCATCGTCGTGATCGTGGTCGTCGTTATCTGCGGGGAAAAATTTTGCTATTTTATAGCGCGGTGCGCCGTCGACTGCGTCGTCCTAGAGTGACAGTCTTTTTTTCCTCGCAAGATCGCACAGTACGTCTGAGATGTTCCTAGAAGTGGATGGTCCTGCGGGGTATTTTAAGAAGTTGGTAACCTCGATTGAAATAATTGACGCACGACATATCCGATCTACGTGTCGCCTGCTCCTACGCTGCGGTGGAGATTCGACCTACTACGGCCGCCAACTGCAACGACTAGTGACGCAGTATGCGTAGTCCCAGCCCTCACAATCAGGCATGGTGTCGTCGTCGTGATCGTCGACATGTAGTAAAGACGCGCAGTTCCAGCCCTCGTAGTCAGCCATGGTGTCGTCGTGATCGTCGACCTGCAACGAAGAAACAAAAGAAATTTATAATAAACTACCCCCGATTAGAAAAAAGAAGTATTATTTGTATGGGAAAAAAAAATTAATACGTTTCCTCATTGCTCTTGTTTCTCTGGTGAAACTAAATTCACCAAGAGCGGTTGACGCGTCGCGAGATCCGCGAAGGGTGCTGGAGGCGTCACCAGGTCCACGTGTGTCATGCGTTGCGGTGGTGGTGGTGGACGTGTGACGATTACCTCGCACACTATCTCAACGTCATCATCATTATCAGATCTGTAACAAAAATTATATAGAAAAAAATTATTTATATATGTTAAAACAATATATATTAAAAAGTAATATACATATATATATACTCGTATATACGCATATAATTTACACATGCGCCGTCAATGATAATCGGGAACATGGTTGGAGTGGCGACCGATGCCTGTTGTAATAGTATTAATAAATTAATTAATTTACTAATTAATTAAATATAAATTTAATATGAAGAACATATTTGTTCTTTATATTGAATTCTTTATATTAAAAAGAATGAGAGAGTACGAAGTAACCGTTCATTATGCCGTTAACGACGAAACCAAGGTTTTAAGTAACGTGAAAAGAATGCGATAAAGAACAAAATAAGAATTTAATATGAGAGAAAAAATAAAATTTGAATTGGAGAATATATACTCCCTCTTATATACACACACACATACACGCCCGCACGGTTACTTCTTCATGCATTTTCATTCTTTTTTAATATAAAGAACACAGTCTTTTTTAATATATATATCAAAAAAATACATATAACACGAGAGAGAGAGAGAGAGTAAGAGAAATTAAAAGAGAATAAAAATAAATACTTACAGTATTGAAGGTAGAGGTGTCAGTGACATCTTGATAGTTCTCGCCTCCAAAATATGAATTTGCGCAGGTGGTGTTTGCGGCAACTCCGGGTCTGCCCTTGCTGGAGATTTGCATATAGCAATAGGCAATGAAAATATGAACATCTCATGCATAAGATGATCCAATTCCTCACAGGAAAACTCGTCGTTGATGGCTGCTACGGCTGCAGTAATTGCATCTTACCGCGGCTCGGCATCTGTCGACAGAAGCTCCTCCAAATCACAAAAAATGTTGTTCTTGTCGTTCTCCATTTTTTCTTTTTTTACACAAACTTATCATTGAACTTTCACTGCTAATGAAATATTCACTGACCTAACGTTACGAATCAATTCACTTTTTATTCTTTCTGCAAACACTAACCGAGCATCGGTCATTGGATTAAAAATTGGGAGGACACGCAATTGTTCTGATTTTTATCGCGAGCATAAGACGATCATAATCAACAGTGGGAGTATTTAAAACATAGTGGTGGGAGCAACTAGGGAAATAATAGCGATTAGTGCGGAGCAGAGACGCAAAACTGTATTATTACGCGATCGCGATCGTACTTGCGCATTTTTTCACTCAACATGCAAGGCATTCAAATCGGTCAATGGCAATGGCAGGCGATAGCAATCCGTTGACAATGGCGAGCTGCATCGAATCATTTCATTGATATCATCAATTATTATTTATAAATTTATAATAAATTTTATAATAAATTAATAATGAAAAAAAACATCACTTTTCAGTGCTACACGTTTGAACAAACAAAAAAAAAGATAATTATTTGTAAACTGTACCCTTGCGTTTTTTTATTCTTCCCTATTATATATTTTTTTCACTATTATATTTTTTTAGTGGAAGTAGCAGGTAAGTATAATGTAGGTATCTTTTAAGTAATATTCATTGTCTTAAAGACAATTCGTAATAATATTTATCTCATTTGCTAAATCAAAAAGTAATATAGTCAATACGTACTCTACCTATAAGAGTTGTCATAGGTCAAGCGGTAGAGCGTTGACGTGCGGATGCTCGGAGCGCAGGTTTGATTCTCGGTAATATCAAAATTTTTTTTTAATTTGTTTAATATTATTTCATCGAATTCTAATGACATGTTTTATGAAAATTTTGAAAATTTATTTTAAAAAATGTTAAAAATATCGACTTTTTTCTGTAATGTATACAAGGATTGTAATTTTTCAATGAAATGTATGGAATATATGGAACGTATGGCATGTATGGAACTTTTTAATGGAGGCGGAAATCTCAGCCGTCCACTATAAAAGTAATCTGCATCTCATTAACAGTCGCATTCGTATCAAGCGTGTACTGCGTAGCGTGTCAAGTGTGAAAGAAAGAAAAAAATAGTAATACGAGGATTCTACAATGAGGGCCAACAAGATTGACTATAGTTAATCATTTTTTATTATGTATCGAGAATATTTTTTTTTGACATATTTTTGTAATTTTTTATTTGTGTAGATTTCAGCAAGCGAGGCTGAATAGCTTCACGTCTCAATGGACATGCGCAAACGTACAACCATCAGACCGTGCTGCGGCCGGCTTTTACTATACGAGGAAGATTAATCAAGT